AGCCATGCAGCCTTAGGAGATGAAACCATTTCGGCACAAAGAAGTCTTCAAAATTAAGATTTCTTTAGCAGATAAAACATATTTGACTAATGACCACAGCATTGTTTTCTAGGTGCTGCTATAATTTTTAAAATAGCCCACCTTACTAGACAAAGTATTTATCATTTAACTTTTCAGTCTCTTTTAAATACTTACAGCCTAGGAGGAAGGGGGAGAGAGAGAGAATCGTTGAAGAAAATGGCCTAGGAAGTTCAGGTTTTTATTGTAGAGGTTTGCCTTTAAAAAAGAAACTAAAAGCAAAAACTTCTGTGCTCAAATTTTGATGGTTTAGAGAAGGAGACTTTGAGCTTGCTGCTTGATCTGCCACATGTCGAATAAAAACTGAAATAGATTCAGGTGTGGTCAACTGGGATGCTTGGAATAATTTTGTGGTTCTCCTTTTTAGCGTTTGATGAATATAGAAATATCAGCCAAAAGGACATTGAGGACAGCATAAAAGGAGAATTATCTGGGCATTTCGAAGACTTGCTACTGGCCATCGGTAAGCCTTCGAGTGCTGATAAACTGAGTCACTTTGCCCTTGTTCTAACTCAACGTCAGCGTGAGCTCCTTTTGCGTGAGGATGCCGACTGATCCAGCCCCAGCTGTGCCACGTACGTTCAACACATAACGCTAAATGGATTCATGAAGATGTCATCTTTTTAGGTCTTACTTTGCATTTTAAATCTGCGTGTGGCTTGTCATCTTTAGCTCGTAGACTCCCGGAGAGCTGAAATATTACATTTCTCCTGGTGTTTTTGTTGAGCCTTGTTGAAAACTGAAACCTAAGCCAATCTGGTAATTCACCGTATTTTGTTATTTCTGGAAGATGTCAGTGGCCTCCCAAAGTTGAGCCAAGGTCAGGGTGGTAGCTCTCCTCCCCCATGGTCGAGTAAGCAGGAGTAAGTGAAAAAGAAAGTAAGTTTTAGGGTGAATCATTCCAGGCATTAACAGGCAGTCAAAAGCAGTTATACAGTTAATCTGCCTTCTTTTTTTTTTTTT